TTCACGTGCTTTGCGCAGTCGTTGCTGTGCTCCTTTCCAAGTAGGTGGCCGCGACCTTGAAGGTATCCAACGTTGCTTTGGCCAGTGAGTCTGCCAGACTGATATAGGAAGGAACCCATGTGAAGTAGCACCGCCCGTCGTCTCGAAGAGCTTTCGGTACTCCACTTCGGTGCGACTATTCGCCATTCCAAGCAGTGGCTGCTCACAGCATCGTACAGCCCTCTTGAATCAGTCACCAACAGTGACTCCATTGATGCAGCCAGCTGCACCGCATTCTTGCGATTTCCTCCCCGTTGAGGATCGCCCAGAAAAGGCGTGCTCGCCATCTGCGGTCCTCTGCTTCGTAGAGACCTTGGCTCTCTGTGGAGTTGGTCCGCTTAGCGGGCCTGTCCAGCTTCCAGCTCCTCCAGTCGATGATAGACACTTTTGCCTCATCTCCCGGAAGGATGCAAGGCTCAGCGCAGCCTGTGATATCGCCTCGGCTCTCGTGGCCTGCGTCACCAAAGTGAACCGCCCGCACATCCTTCCACGTCAGCCTTTCCAGCCACTCTGGGTTGTTCATATCGCCGGCTATGATGAAGTCAGCCATCTACGCGTGTGTTCCCACACGTCCAATCACGCGGCCGTCCAACATGCTCCCAGATGCAGATACGCCTGTCGGCGTCCTCCGTTAACGCAAGTCACCTTGGTATCGGTGTCTTGCCAGAACACTCGGGGTGCATTCGTGAGCCCATAGAATGCGCCAACCACTGCCATGGCATTGCCTGGCTGTAGACCAAGTGCCCGTGCCACTTCTGGCACTGCTTTCGTAAAGAGCTTGTGGTGCCGATTAACGCTGCCCCCTGTAGAAGCAAGTTGGGTCCCAATCGACTCATCGTTGAGTCAGGCCGTCTGCAACAGCCTTGCGCCTCCGGACTTCGGCCAAAAACGCTTGTTCTGTACGCACTTCTGGTCCATGGTCACGGTGACCTCTGACTTGACCCCTGGGACCTGTACGTTGCCTGTCTCTAAACGATCGCCGCGACAGATCCTTGAGCTGGTCGAGATTCTGCTGTGAGCTCTGTCTTCACCAAAGCAGACTTGGGCTCTACCACCATAGCTGCATTTTCTTGCGGTCCTTGAGCTGGTTGAGATTCTGTGGTGAGCTCTGTTTCCACCATAGCGTAAACCTCTTGGCTTCCGGAAGCTGCTCCCTTAGGAGCTTGCCCGGTCGCCGTTCCACCTGTCGCGGTTGTTGCCGCTCCTGGCCCACTTTGAGATCGTTCTTGTGGGTGTTGGCCTCGTCCGGTCGATCGTGCTCGTCTTCGTCCTCTCTCTTTGGCTGGTGCTGCCAGCGTAGGTTCCAAGACGCGCTTCGGGGTCGGTGGCTTGTAGCCAAACATTGTTTTGCCCTTCCGCTCAAAGGCCAGTGGACGGTTCGCTTGTTCGGCCAACTTGAAAGCATCCCAAAATCTTCCTCTTGCATTGGCAGCTGCCCAACCTCACCTGGCAGCGGCATGTTCTCGGGCGGCACGAAGAGCTTGGTCCGCCACGAGTTGTGGTGCCAAATAAGCATTCTTGCCCCATCATCCACATTCCAGGTGTCAGGAACCGGAGCACGCCCAGGTTCGGGAGCTTCGTCAGTAGCGGCAACCCATCTTTGCGTCTGCCTTCGTTTATTCCTTGCAGCTGCTGCCAACGAACCACCTGATCCTGAACCGCGTGCTGCCTCTCCTTGGAGCGGCTCCTTGCCTCGCTCGCAGGCGTCTCTCTTTCGCCCTCAACCGGTCGGGACCATGTATCAGCTGCCTCCTCGATGCCACGTACCCATTCAGCTGGCGGCTGCGCCGACGACCAGGATCGCTCGACTTCCGGGGCTCTGCTAGGCGGCAGCTCATCAGGCAGTTACAGCTCCTCCGCCATGCCTTTGCCCTCGATGGTCACGTCGGTCCATCTGTTAAGGTCTCGAAGCTGGCCTTGTACCGGACGGGTGACTGCTACTCCTCGGCTGAGAACCGGTGTAGTTCACTTTGCCCTTCTGCTGGCCGCCCTTAGGCAGCTCGCCGTGCTTGCCGCGGCCCTTGCTCATGCATGTGGAGGTGGGTTTGTATGGCCTCTGCGCATCTCTGCGCCACGCCACCTCCCCAGCCTCGGTCTTTAACGCCCGCTTCAACAACACGTCAAGCGTGCTGGAAGTTCTGATCGTTCTCTGCCAGCATGGCCTCAATCTCTTGCCTTGCCTTCTCTATCTCATGCTGGTCGTCTTGGAGTTGCACGAGTGCCGAGTCTAGTTCCTCGTCGGCCTCTTCGTCGGCCTCCACCTGGACCCATGCTCTTTCTTGGCCCCCTTTATAACATAGGGCCCTCTGGTCTTCAGACCACGAGGTGCCTGCAACATCCTGGTCCGTCTTCGTCGTACAATCCTTCTGGGCCCACCCTCCATGCCCGAAGTGAAAAGGCCGGCTCCCTCTATAGACCCACGATCTTCGTACATGGAGAGGAGGCAGCCTTGATGATCCGTCTTTCGTCCTCTGTAGAGGTGCTCATCTCGAAGATCATCCATCCACTGATCACATCCGAGGATGTTTGTCACAAAGTGCTGAAGGTCTCCGGCTTACCGTCCCACGTCGGCACCAAGTTCTTGCCATCGTAGGTCTCGTTTGACCGACTAACTATTTCCCTGCATGGCTTTCTGAGGTAGCGCTTGGGCTCTTTCGGTCCCTGACCGAACCGGCGGTAGCTCCTCAGAGCTCACTACAAATCCAGCGGAAAGAAACATGGCTCGCAATCTTTTTGCCCGCTATGCACCAGTGACTCAAAGGGGCCTCCTGGTTCGAGCCATTTGGGGCCGCAGGTGACACGCTAAGCTGCGCGGCTCAGCTTCTTATAGAAGCCTTTCCTAAAGCACATGCTGCAGGCGGCAACTTAAGCTTCGTCTGCTCCTTCTTTTCAGCTACTCGAGCAGGTGGCTGTTACAAGTAAGTGGACAGACATGCCTCATACTCATATGAGGGGCCCGAATGAAAGGATGGCTATCACGAGGCCGCCTCAACTTAGACAGGCTGCGTGCATGATGCATTACTTTCCCAGCAACCGTCTACACCAGCAAAGAAAGTAAAATGATGACTCTGCCTCAGGGCCACTCATTCCGGGGGCGAGGCTCTCGGCAATTGACCGAAAGGCTCCCACTCTGGGTAAGGCCGTTTCTCCAAGCAAGAGGTCAACTTGGGAAGCGTCCTCAAAAAGGCGCCGCTCAGCACACGCTGCAGGATGGAGCTACGTGGCAAAGGTTTGTCTTATCTGAGGGTAGATGCACAACCCTTTTAGGCAGCGAAGCGTGCATTCATGGTAGCATGGCGCCAATCTGGCCTTCTGCAGGAAAACAGCCACAGACTTTCTGAAGACTTCGAATCTGTCCGCCAAGGAGGATACAGATCTCACAAACTCCGTCCCTGAGCTGCGGGGGCCCACATCTGCAAGGATGCAACAAAGCATGCAGCGTGCGCACATCGCGGCAAGCTGCCATCCAGTCGCACGATGACAACGTCTAGCCTGAGTGGCTTCGGCAAGGCCCCAGACCCAGCTCTTAACGACGGCTCAGAACGCCACAATGCGACCTGGGAGCGGGAGCTGGTGTCCGCTCGCTGCGATCCACTCCAAGTCTTCTTGGCTTTGCGAGCTGCAACTTCCCCTTTCCGCCAGTTTGTCGCTGTCGCCGTCGCGTGGCTCCGTCGGCTCCGAGGCCAAGGCCAAGGCGGCGCGGAGCTCCACCGCCTCAGACTCTGGCAGCTCCGCCAGCGCATCCAACGGGAGCCACTGCACGACCTGCTTAAAGCCATGCCCGGATGCCCAAAGTACAGAAACAACTGGAAAAACTCCCCCCTTTGTATATAAAGTACTAACTAAAAGCAAAAATCTATGAAACCCAGAGCCCATGAAAGCCGACCTTGAGGTCCTGGACTGAGCCGTCGGAGAGGCGAACCGCTGCTCGAAGCTTCGCCGTGTCATCTCTCAGGTCCACTGCTTCGAGAAGACCTCAATGACAGGTCACTCTCGCAAACAGTTCAAGGGGGCCAGTTTGCTTCTATTTAGGGTTCAGTCTAGTTTCTAAGATCAAGCCATGGAGCCTGCAGCACCTACCAAGCTGGCGCAGGTTGACGACCATGCGAGGCTTGGATGGTCCCGCACCGCACCTTTCAGCCACTCATCGTCGGCGGTCACCTGCACGGCTTGGTCGGGCAGCAGGTGCGCCTTCAGAAACTCCAGACCATCGCCGATCATGCCACGGCAGCTGGCATGTTTTTGGGGTACAGTGGCATGAGACATGTCTTCCAGTCAACTCACGATCTTCAGCTACTTGCGTTTGCATTGCCTACTTCACCTGTTGATGCCTTCAAACTTCTGCATGGCGGCTTTTCCAGCTGGCACTGTTAGCTACGTGCCATGTATGCAAAGTATTCCGTTCTGCTTTCAGAACCTGAGTTGCTGCAGCGCAGACGAAACAGCTAAAGCTTGCAGAGGCGGGTGAAGCAGAACGGCTCAAACGACAAGCTGCACAAGCTGCATTGCACGTCTGACATTCAGCAGGCTGCTTTCATGCAGCAGGCTTCACTGTAATGATTAGCTTCAAAGACTCCTGATCTAAGCGCGTAGCTTGCTAAAGCCCGGACATTCCGCAGCCTTCCGGCAGTGCAGAACCAGCGAGGCGTGATTTGGGCAAGGGCGGTATTGCTTCAGGTGTAACGGCGACCCTGTGCAGCAGTGTTCGCATGACCTACCACAGCAAGAAATCGTGTCGCTTGTCAACGGTAAGGGTCGCGCTCGATCTCAGAATTCGGCTGCAAGGCCTACATGGACGGAAACAAGAGGCTAAAGGGGTCGTGGGATCAGACTGTGGACGTGAGTCATGCATGGACCCACGTGTCAGTCAGCCCTGCAGATTCCTTCATGATTGTGCTGTTCAGTTGTGTTGTCTACAGTGCCGTACTTTTGGAGCTGAATTGGGTCGAAAACTCTTTCAGCTAGCTGCAGCTGCAGGCCTCCCAAGTCAGCCCATGTCGTGCCACCAGCCGAGTGACCTCAAAGGCGAAAGGGATCTTGGAAGCCCATGAGTCTGATAGAAATCGTGCTACAGTGTTGTGCTCAAAGAAAGACACGCACACCCTAGCGAGGCTGGTTTTCCAAGGCAGTCCGTCGTCGGTGGCAGGCGTCATGCACCTCAGCTGTTGGCGCAGGCCCGACACCCGTCCAAGAATAAAGTCCAGCATCCTTCAGCCGACAGGACCGGGCCAAGCAGCTTGCGCAGAAAGCCGGGGATGCAAGAAGCATCTAGGACCCCGATCATCACATCGTCAGCATAGTCCTCATTGCTTGCAAAGTAACTAAACTTAAGCCATCGATCTCGCACTCACTTCAGAGAAGGTAAAACTCAGGGACCAAGTCCATACAAACATTGACATCCGCCCATCTGCCCGTCCACGCATACATGCATACATACATACATGCATACATACATACATGCATACATGCATAGATACATACATGCATGCATGCATGCATGCATGCATGCATACATACAATACATACATTTTTTGGCCGAGGTTTAGGGGCAACTTGTGGCGACCAACAAGCTACCGAAATCCTTTCGAGGTCGGCAGGTTGTTGAAACAGGTGCCAGCTGTCTTACCAGCCAGCACGACTTCAGTGCGAGCAAATTCTAACCACTCAACTAAAACAAGCAGACCTCCGGCCATTCATTCATACATACATGCATAGATACATAGATACATACATGCATACATACATACATACATACATACATACATACATTACATACTGACTTACTTCCTGAAACAGCACCTGAAGGAGTGTCTTACAAGCACAACGGCATATCCAACATTTGTGTGTCTAGAAAAGGAGGCTATTGAACGGTGAGTTGTTCAAGAGCAGTGCCTGTTCTGTGGCTTCTGCTCTCAACCTGTATGTCGGCTCCATAAAGGCTGCAGCCTCACCACACTCGGTAGATCCACAGTCTGTTCCGCCTTTTTCCGACTAAAGGTGCGACGCTGTGCTGCCCGAACCTTGACATGCTTGTGATCGAGCAGTGTGCACAAGGGTTAGGCTGTCCATGTTCCGCACGTGCACAGTTGAGTGCTACTTCTGTGTTCTTGGAGTCTTGGAGTCGTCCCAGTCTTGGAGTCTTGGACTGACTGGGTCCTGGCCAGTGCCCAAACACACCAGTTTCATCTCCTGCTCACCATGCGGTGAGGAGACATGCAAACTGGATGAAAACTGAGGCTTCACACACACACACACACTCTCTCTCTCTCTCTCTCTCTCTTGCTTGCTTGGGGTATGGGTCCCCCTCTCTCTCTCTCTCTCTCTCCCCGTCCGTCTCTGTCTCTGACAAAGATGCGAATGCCCATCGCATCGACTCGCAGGAACTGGATAAACCGTTGCTGCATTGCTGAATCCGCACGCTGACCTCACCCCTGCACAAAAACCCGTCGGGTCCAGAACGACAGGCAACTGGTGGTCTTTTGGCAGCACCTGAAGACTTGATATACATCCGTCGCATGCCACCTCGAAGACATAGATGCAAAGCAAGACCACCACGACAGCCTTGACTCGAGATGCTGCATCTTTCCTTAGTTCCCCAACCCATCCCTGCAAGCGGTCACAACGCATGGCAAGCGGGCACGAAAATCCAGTGTCCACAGAGGGTCCCTCGCAGTCGAACACGGTCTCGCTCTGGAGCGGATCCGCAACTAGTCTCGTCCGGCTCCTGTCAGGCCATGCTCCTGGAGCTCTCGAGATCTCGAAAGCTGGCACCAACCTCTCTGAGCTCCACCAGGCTCCAACGCTTTTGCAAGAACTCGAAGGCCACACCTGCCTGCAAGGTGATTACATGACTACATGTGCCTTCTTCTCGGAACACACTTCGCCGACTGCTCCCATCGATTAGCACCTCGCCTCATCCAGGAAAGCGGTCAAATAAACAGCCACTGCTGCCTGCATGATGCTGGTCGGCCAGTCGGCCTAGCAAGATACACCAACTCTGCACCGCCTTCGCATGTGTCTGTGAGCTCCCGTCAGAGTCCTGTCCTCGAAGGGCAGTGGGAGCTGCGAGAGCTGCTCTGAGACGTCTTCAGCTCTAGAGCCTCCAATCTGCCAAAGCCGGGCCAGCGAGAGCGGGAGCCAGCGCACAATGCTGGGCCTACGAAGACGTTCAGCGAAATTGATGGACCTGGCACGGTTCCAAACTTGCCCTTCTGCAAAACCCCTACATGAGCCGCTGCGTTTATTCCCGTTCAATTCTAATTGTGGCATCTCGAGGCGGTGCCCCTATCTCGTTTCATCATGTTAAGTCCTGGCAGAACTTTTTGATCTCGTTCAAGTATCGCT